AGTGCTCCAAGTCGCCCAAGGTAAGTAGAAACTACGTCTGCAAACTACTTAGTTTAAAAATGCACCACTGGGCCGAACTCAAAAGAATTGGTACCGAGTACACAGACTGTTCAAACAGACAAGAAACACATGTACGAGGGCATTGAAAGCTGATCGGCGACGGCATCTAGTTAGGCTTACAAACAAGTATGTTTCGCTATGTCGCATTGTTTCAGTAGGCTAAAGCGGGAGTCTGTCAACTACTAGGTACCAATCGACTGACTAGTAACGACACTGAAGCATCTGAGCTCCTAGCTGACCAGTATTTACAAGTCTTTTCGTCGTCGTCCACCTACTAAGGAGTTTACGAATATCCCACTAACGAAGTAGGACTCTCGGTAGTTGACTTAAGCGTTGAGCTAGTACAGTTCAAACTGTTGCTTCTTACGACAGACGTCTCTACGCGACCAGATGAAATCTATGAGGTGGTACTGTGGGAAGGAGCATCAATATTGGCTAAAGTTTTAAGTCACTTAAGGATTCTTTAAGTCAAGGGAAAATGTACAATCCTTGGGAGTTGGACCACATACGGCTAATCTTCAAAGGAGATCAATGAAGCAACCCGAATAAATACAGACCAGTGATACTCTTACCTATACCTTCCAAAGTAGTGGTATTGTTAATTTATGATGGACTGAAGGATCGCCTTATAATGATCAAATTCTTTACGCCACAACAACATGGATTTAGAAAAGGGTACTCCTACATTACTAATATGCTTACTGCAGTAGATAGATGAACTAACATTATCGACCGTCGAAGTAGAATCGGTATTATTTATCTAGACTTTCCTAAGGCGTTTGGTCGTGTTAACCACGATTGCCTTATTTATAAAATAAAATTAATCGGTATGAGACCACCGCTCATTGACTGATTGTCTTTATACCTACATGGTTGTTTATTTAGAGTTGGAGTGAGTTTCTCTGTGTCTGAAGAAGCAGAATGTCCTGGTGGTGTTCCCCGAGGTTCAGTAGTACGGCTTATTGAATCTTAGCTGTAGTACTAATCTTAGAAGACATCTTAAGAAACTAAGCCTGGGACATAGCAAGCTAGATATCAGACATAGCCTCTGTTACCTAAGAGTTATCAAAACGTAGAATGCTCTTCCTGCAGACGTGATCCAAACCTTTTCAGAGGAATCCTTTAAACTCCGGGTTGCTACTTATTTGAGATATGGGTGGAATCTGCTCAGAACTAATTGAATTTCCACATTTTAACCGCCACTTTTTGCTCTCTTTAATATTACACAGGTTAACTACTACAAGATGTAGTGATCCACGGATTCTAGACGCGAAAGCTTCTATTCTGTCAACAACCATGTGAACCATTTGAACATCATCCAACATCAACAGTAGGGTTAGAGGAAACTTTTAGTTTTTGAGCTCTCAGTTCTGGGTCTCGAGACTCAGTTCTTCTGCAGTCCAAGCATTTTGGGCAAACTTTGTGGCAACACTTACAATTTTTATGAAATATTTAATGGGAGCGCGAACATTATGAAAGTTTTGGGAAGCACTCCGACTGAGGAAGTAAGAATTAATTGTAATATTTCCCCGAAGTTTCCTCACGTGGAGAGGAGTATTTCTCCCAGAACTTACCCATTTTGTGCTGACTGTCCAGTTGGAGTTTTCTGGTAGAAGTGTTAAAAGTACAAATGCAACAGGGATGTGCAATATCTTTCCCGAAACGCTCTGAGGTCGTACCCGAAACTTTAAAATGTTCTAGAGGCCTTTTCGGTTTGTGAAAATCCGCAATTCTGGACCGACATCACTTTACTGAATAATACCATAGTTTTGCATATTCTCTAATGTTAGCTCTGTCCCCTGGTAATAGGGCTCATATAATTGGATAAAAGTTTTGTTATTTAACTTATCTTTGAAGGGAACATAATTTTGTGGATTTTTCTAAAGGTCGATAGAACGCACTAGTGACCTCGAAGATTTTCGGTTGTGCGCAAAGTATCCTAACATTACCTATCTTAATGGACATTTTCGCAAATGCACATGCATGGTTTCCTCTTTGTTCGTTGTTGTCTGTGCTACGTCAACCGAACTAGATGATCACTTCACTTCCCTCTTGTCAACATTATTTCCAATTCAGTCGTTTCCTTTCCCTTCGTATGTCTCATTTCCCCATGGTGCCCTGTACGTACTTCTCAAACTCGTTATTTATCCCCTACTCCACCATTTCGTGAGCATAGCTGTGCTCGAAGAAAAGGCCAACACGTGGAGCTAATCCTTTCAATAGTTAATCATGTGAAAATCTAGTTACTGCTTGGATGCATTCTGAAGAGGCTGCTACTAATTGTCGTGGAGCTTTGCTGTTCTAGAGGGACTTGTAAGTAACCTTGAATGGTGGATGAAAGGGTGAATAAACAGGAAATGCAACGAATAACCGGCATTTTACGCTTTGTCTCCATTATTTTACCTCTGGCTGCTCTGTTTTCCTTTTAATATCATATTTCTCTTCTGACCACTGTATTTACCTTTAAAACAACCGCATTCATTATGCATCTCAATCGGCTTCATGAACAAATCCCAAAGAAAAATAGAACATTGGTTTTAAAAAGTTTTATTCTGTATGACATTGTTGTAAGTGGAATAAAGCAGGTGAAGTTAAAATAAAGGAGATACGTGGATACTAAGAGAACAAGAATAAAAGCTCAATCAATACTTATTTTTTGTTGGTAGCTTCTAAGGTTGTCTTCCTCAGCGGAATTATAGAATGTAAAGGCTCTTCTTAGTCAACATATGAAGCACATAATTTGCTGCTTACGTAAATAGAGAACAGGTAAAAAACTTGCTGACAGTGCCGAATAATAAGATACATTTCCCCCTAACTGTTGCACTTGTTCACCTTATCCAAGAAGTTGCGTAAATAGCTCTAGGTTGTAGCAGGAGTGAAATCTCAACACCCCATTCAGATATCCATGCAAACAATGGCTGAGCGAAAATAATGTAGCAACTGCAACTTACCTCCCAAACCTATATGAAACCAGTCTTTTGAACACACGTTTGCTCATTGTTCCTTGCAAAGTGTAAGGGCTAATTTTGGATAGATCAAAGTTACAATAATCACTCGCAGAGATAACAGATGAGACTTCCCCGCTACCTACTTCATGGAAGCTGTTTCTACAGGATATCTAAAAGAGAAAAAGTAAAATAATTATGTGACTGCATAACCCATGTGACATCTGCTTGAAGTCTGTCACACATAGCTTTTTAAGGACTTTAAACTCAGATTTCACTGTACTTACGCCGGACAAGCGAAGCACAAGGTACTGGCACCGGAATACCGCAGGGCATGAAGGAATGTATTATTGAGGAAAGTGACCATTCCTGACACGCGCTTCCCATGGGGGTGTTATCAGCATGATACTGCTGGGAGAAGGACGCTTTACTGATTTTACATCTTGTGCAGTCAGTAATACGATTTGACTCACGGACCGATATCAAAGTGTAGCAATTGACCCTGCAACGGTTACTGCTTTTTGTCTTTCTACTACCCCACAGATTTTTCTGGTATGATAGGACCTCAAGGAATGACCGAGCCCGACCACCTCATCAAAGTAGTCGCTATCCGTTTGGTTGAAGGGATGCACTTCCGCGCGAGGTTGTACATTGACATGTTGATATGTCTGTCTGAGTATGCGGCTGGTATCTTTGTCCCGTGCGACAAAATATGCAAACCAGTTAAAACACATTCAACTATTTAGAGATCAGTGTCCATAAGCACGGTATTTACTTCCACTGAAGTGCAAAGTCGTATATCTTTTTGGAAGCTGATAAAAATTTTTTGTGCCAGACTAGGTGTAAATTACTGGTGAAAATGTGACTGATGAGGTTTTAAACTGTATAGCAAAAAGTAGATGGTCATGCGCTGGTCTGGGTCACGTTGAGCGCTGTCATAAAGTTGGCCTTGCTGTTAAGGATCGATTGTATAAGATTTTTGTGCAGGCGGTTCTGCTCTACACCTATAAATCCTGTCCTTTCCGAGCTGAGAATGCATGACTCTACGTGTTCAATGGCCTTATGTTTGCTAGTATCCAGTGGGAATACCATAGAAGTAGTTCTGAAGTGACGTGGCATGTATTTTGTGTGATGGAGGTTGATATTAGTTAAATGTGGTCATCTCGAAACAATGACTGATGGCTAGGACATATGCTACAAATTTCGTTCCAGCAGCTGAAAAACCGTTCACTGTTTGCTCATCATGGGACTGGCTTTAAGATGAGGCCAGATGGTCAGTGTACGATGTGGGACCATGAGATGCAGAACGGTTTAGTTAGCGTCTATATGTAGGTGCCTCATAGCCCTGTAGATGGAGTCTGACAAAACGGCAAATATGATTCAGAATCGAAACCAGTGGCGACCATGTTTCAGCTTTCATGCTTCTCCTATCGAGAAGCAAAACAAAAGTAGTGATTCTGTGTGTGTGCTTGAGACTGCTTCTTTAGTAAGCCATTTCTGTTTTCCTTTTTTCATATCACGTTTTGCGTCTTTTTAGTATTGATATACGTCACATGATATATCTCTTGGCGCCCATGTTTCACCAAATTAATGTTCTAAATAAATAGCATAAAAGATTTGTCTTATTACATTTAGTGTAATAGTTACCAGAAGAACGATTATTAATACCGTAAATATCAGCACTTTTTTAAATTTCTTGCAATATTTTCCAGGGAGGCTGACATTCTTTCTCCTACTTTCCTTACAATTGCTTGTTAACTTTATAACTTGATGTGAAGGATTGCAATGTCTCAAATTAGATCTAACTAAAGAAAGTTTCATTTTTTAGTTTAGAAAGTCATAGGTCGGAGGATAGTTGAATCTAAGTGACACCCTTTATAAAGAGATGGTAATTCATGACTCATAGTTAAAAATTTTCTGTGACTGTGGCAATTTCTGTGAACCAAGTGCTTCTAAGAAATGATGCGGAAAATAGAGAGTTCCGAGACAATGTTCGTAAAACTCCCGTTTAGCAACTTCTCTAGCTATTCTGCATCAAATTGTCACCAGATAAATCAGCGATGTGAACGACTGGGGAGGGAGTCTTTGTTTCAGAAGTGATTTCAAAATGGTGAGATCTTCACTAGGTTTCAGGTAAAAAGTGTAATAACCGTGTTATTTGCTCAGTACTGAAGCATTTTACATAACGTTTATAAACATTCAATAACATTTTATGAATTTGTATTTAATTTCACAGATAATAATGGAAAGAGTAAAAGCTGTATTGACTAAAGCTCTAGGAGAAAAGGCTGCAGGCGACTTTATAAAGTCAGATAAAATAATTTAATTTTTCTCATCAGTTTCATTTTCGATGAAGAGCTTGCATGGAAGTTGACGATACGCAAATTATCAAGAAACGTGTATCTACTCTGTTGGACACTCGTAAACCAGAGAATCGTCAAGTTTATGAAGTTTTGATACGAGAAAAAATACGGAGAAGTGGGTTTACTGGTGAGGTCAGTTCGCAATTTCAGTAGTGATGATTTCCTATTCAGCGTATTTATAATATCATAACTGTTTACCTTATGAAGTTACTTACAATGTTAACCTCAAATCGCTTGTCTGAATCATGTTAGAATGTGAGACTTACTCATTATTGTTTCAGGCTAATCTTTATTATCAACCCTAGACGAACCATTTATAGTCTGTTACTCAACCACTCATCAATGCAACAAATCTGTAAAAACCAAATGGTAGTGAAATGCCATTGTGTAAATTCGAGGATTCCTTTTGCATTTAAACACTTACTGTCATGAGTTAAATTTCAAAACTTAAGTCTTAGAGCAAATGAATTGTAAAACGTTTGTGAAAATTAACGAACTCGTGGTATCTGCATACAATAATAGTTAACCTAGTTAATTGTCAAACACGCGCACACTGGTTTGAAACGATTTCATTCATGATTATTTGAACATGTAAAGCAATGCTACAGACATGACTAACACTCCTAAACACTCGTGCAACACAGCTGGAGTTATTAAAGGAAATAAACAGTAGGGTTTTGGATTTGACTAGTTGAATGAAATACGAAGACCATAAGGCAACCAATGAGTTGTAAAACTTTACTTTTTCTCTCAGTCGTAAATTTTATTTCGAAAAAATACACTGCATGTAGTGATAACTACTATTGTCCCTAAAATTTATGAAACTGTCGCTAATTGATTTAGGAGATTCCTGGTTCAGTTGCAACTTGGTCTGCTAAGACTTCAGTATGCCCTCACTCTACGTGAGGTTTTGAAGTATACAGCTTTCAAAATGTTAACAAACTTCTCAGGTATACTTATCTCTAATAGACAGTTCCAGAGTACAACACTGCCTAACGAATCGAAGGCAACCCTAATATAAGGAAACATAATGATCATTGGCCTGCAATACGGATGACGGCATTCGAGCATCTGACGGAGGGGGGATACGTGATCACAGCATGCATGATTTGAACGAAATACAACTTACTCCTTGCAGATGAGATTCTCATGTGTTTCACACAGCTTGTGAAGTATGTATTTTGGACGCTACTTCTAGCATGTTGATACCCCGATGATTATCATTGTGTAGACCAGTTTTTAAAGATGACCACAACAGTGGATTCATTCCAGAGTGGTGGGGAACTTCAGTGTGTCATATCTTCGCAAACAGTGTAGTCAAGTACGTCCCTACAGTTTCACCTGCATAATTAAGGTGATGTAAGGGGTATCTTGTGTAGGTGAGGTGCCCTACAATGCAGTAAAATGTGGAGTTCCTGACGGAGCTGCGCTTCGTTATGTGATTCAGTGTTATCAGACCATAGAGGACCATACACCAAGATTTGTGCTGCTGAACCGGTAGGTCAGCTGGATAGCTTCCCAAAGTGGTCCTCTCAGCGTTATAAGCATTACGAAACTTGATGGTTAACTTACTATCTACTCCATAGACCGTTTGACTGACAGCAGGCGTTTTGCTGCTGGTGGCCTGCATGGGCCGAAACAACTTCAGATGTGGGTACTGCTTTTGTCTGAGTCACGCGTTCTGACTACCGGACCTCGCGGTCCTTACTCAAATACTGCTTTAAATACCGCGTATTGGCTGCATAGATGGGATAAGTTAAAGGGGATGTTGGAGTATATACCAAGAGACATGAAAATATGTGAGGGGCGGTTCGAAGGGTGCACAGTGTGAAAGGACTTAAGTTGTGACTGTGATATGAGGGAAATCGACGCAGCCCGACTACTCATATCATGAAAAGCTTCTTATTGAAATAACTGAAAAAGAAATTAACCTCGGGTATGTGACCCAACAAACTTCTGTTTGAGGCTAGCCATGCACTCTCTTCTGAGAGTGAGAGTTGGGTGTGGTTTTGTTACATCTGAACTAGAAAAACCAATGCTGCTGAGACTAGAAAACCATGAGGCCCTGGAGAGGTATGCTGTTTTAAGGGTCTATCTTTTCTAATCCCTCCCTTTTATACAGACATGTCAGAATGACATGCTCATTGCCCACGGGAAACACATGACTTCAGTTACCCTCGGTATAAGTAACGGTACGACGTTGCCCTAAGACCCCCACGACAGCATAAGCCATTTTCACTGTGATAGTAACTCCTTTTTGTTGTACCACAATCCGATAGACCTTTCTTGGATGATAGGATCTCAAGGGACCAACGTAGCTCGTTACGGTCGTTATTAAAAGCGAACTCGAACATCACACCGAGATAGTAGCTGTCTGTTGTTGCTGATTCATTTGATTAGGTTGTCTTGCAACTTCCATAGGAACACGTTTTACACATTTAACTCAGCGCTTTCTTTGTGAATAACCATCTGTTGGTTCTGCAACTGACTAAAGGAAACACAGGTAGCAAGAGGTGTTGCTGTAAATTGATAGTTATTTATATTGAGTAGGTGTCCACCGGAGCATTTCGACTCAGTAGAGTTCTAAGTAATTCCTAATAAGAATTAACCTACAATATATCTCATAATACATTACATTATTTTCACCTTGGTGTATAAGTATTACTTGGTTATCCTTAGTATTGACAATTAAAATTCTGTTTATCATATTCTATCTCAGTTCTTTACAGTACGTTATGTTTTCCCCATTTACAGGGATATCGTAAATCTGATTCAAATCCTAACGCCCCAAGTGATCGAATCATAACTCCAGATGATAATTTAACTTCAGCAAAGGTGTGTGATACTTTGAAATCCTATGCTTTTGAGAGCAGACAACTTATCATAGTTGTATTTGAATCCTGCTGGCTCTCGTTTTAAGCTCACTAATCAATCAGTCGGTGAGGTTTGATTACTGTACTTCTGGTTATCAAATACATTGATACGAGTTGATAGTGACCTATCTCACTTTGTATTTGATTTGTAACTAGCATGTTATGTGTTCTAACCCTCCACTACCGACTAAGATTTAAGCAGCCAACCAATGTTGCTAGCTGTCACACTACAGATATGGTTTATCGACTACTCTACACAAATATGTAGTCGATTATTCGATTGTTTTACAGAACATTGCATGGTTTGTTCTTTGTGATGATTTGATAGACCTAGTTTGTAGGCTTAATAAGAATTCTATTGAATATTTGGTAGAGGTACATCACATCAATCAATTGTGACATGTAGCAACTTGAACTGATGCACTTCTATGTCAGGTTCTAAGTTCATCAGTCTGTTTTACTGATGAACTATTAAACTATATCTGTCTATATATAAGTACAGTGAAGTTTGTGCTAATTATTCGTTACACATGCATCATCACAACCTAATTGATTACTTTTGAGGTGTACAGTATTATACTCTTATAAGTACGCTTGCTTGTTTACATGTTATTGAATTGTCTGAACTTCTAAAATGGCTTAATTCTCTGATTCATTTGTATATTTGAGTTTCATTACTGTGTATGCGTATAAAATGATTACACTCCCAGTTAATGTTCTTTCTCTGTCCAAGATTACTTTTTCAAAATTGAGTTCATGTCCATAGTTATCCACGTGCATTGAAATGAGCGGTGAAATGTCCTGACGTTTAATAGCCAATTGGTGTTCACATAAACGAAGACGAAGACGACGACTACTTTATCCATTGAAGTGTTACATTGGACAAAGTAGTCGTCCTCTCATCGCTCATTTCAATACACGTGGATAACTACGGAGATAAATTCAATTTTGACAATGTAGAAATCTTGGACAGAGGAAACACAAAGAGTATCAGAGAATGCCTAGAAGCTTGGCATTCAGATCAGTCAGCAATCAGTGAATGTATAGATATGGACCCAATCCATCAACAATTAACAAAAATGACAAACAGCAGAAAGGTAGGAGGTCAAGCAGAGAAACAGCCAACAAAAAAATCTATACAACCAATGAGGACAACCAATCACAAGCCAGTTCGTCAGGGCGAGCTGCTGAATCACCCTTAGAGATATACTGACAGCTCACTTCATGTTAAAGTTAGTGCTGATGATGTCGTCTAGAAAGACAATGAAAGCTCCACTATCAAACAACCGAGCTCAGAGAACACAATACCATTTAGTTTCTACTGTTACTTTAAGTGATTTTGTTATAAGTTCATAAAGTCTGGAGTAATAGATACTTGGGATAATATTAAAACGTTACAATCTTATTGTTGATCATTATGCACACTACAATAGATTATCACTGAATTTTAGCATTCCTAATTGTCAGCATTCGTCAGTTCAATAGACTTTCTTTTTCTACTAGTATGTATATACGGTTGTCGATTAGATAGGTAGATCAGCCTAGGTGGATGATTTAGTAAACGTATTTACCAGAATATTCATTCATGAATATCACACTTCATAACGTCTGCAAAATCTGACGGTCTCTCATTTATTGTTGTTTATAGTCATGAATACTCACTACTGAGGCACTGCAAACTGAGTTAAAACTGCTGCTGACTGCTTTCCAATTTTAATGTTTTCCTAGTTAGTATCAGTTCGTAATGCGAATACCTTAAAATCGACCAATCTAATAAAATATCCCTGTTATTCAAGCCATCACCATTTGAAACACTGAACAACTAATTCATTCTCTTTCTTAAATACTCAAATACGTAATACACTTCGATAGTTTATCACTTCCTACACCCTGAAAAAGGTTAGTGAATTCTTATTAAGGTAACGTATAGTCTTATGCAACTGGTTTGGTTAGGTCTTGTGACTACTGGAAGTGTTTGGGAGGTTGACACTTCCCCATTACCTACGTTGTGGAAGACTAGTTCTTCTTGAGGTACCCGAAAAAGAGGGGATAATGTGTGACCACTGAGACCAAGAGACATCTGCCTGACGTCAGTCACGCCGCTTTATGGCAAGTTTGAGATTTTGTTTTTCTGTTTGCGAATTTAACTATGAATCCTTGTTGCATGCCGCTAAGAGTGAGAGTGGTATTTTTGGGTTTACCTTTTCTAAGCTCCCCTTCCTATATGAAAGGCAACATCAGCGTGGCACTGCTAGTCATCCAAGGAAAACACCTTACGGCTATCACACCCCCATCCAGTCAGCAGTACAACTTTGTCTTCAGACCCCCATCGCAGCGTAACAACTTACTGTATAATGGTAACTGCTTTTGTCTAAACACTATCCAACAGAACTTTCTGTTATGGTAGAACCTCGATGGGACAAGTGTTCCACCAGAGTAGTTCGCTGGGTCATTGTGATATGCAAATCCGACCACCACGTCAAGGTAGCAGCTATCGGTCGAGTATGCTACTATTCTGAGCCTTCGAATAAAGTTCTGAAACGGACCATTTCTGACTAACATGCAGTAAAGTATCTTGATCAAAGACAAATTAGTATCTTTCTGCATTCATATCATTTGTCTGATATAATATCTTTTTTTCGTTACCGTTAGTAACCTTTAAATGTTTTCACCAATCTATTGTTTTTTTGAACCATATAGAATGATCCAAACCAACCATTAACAGCATCTTCACGTAACGTAGGAAAGAAGAAGCAAAAAACCAAGTTTTATCCATTATTTTGCGAGGGAGCTCATAGTGATCAACTTGTCTCCTTATTACCCGGTCGGCATCCTTGTCAGTGTTTAGCAACTAAACATCAACTGGTTAATAATTGTGTCAATTGTGGTCGTATTGTTTGTGCACAAGAAGGTTCAGGTCCGTGCTATTATTGTGGAAGTCTTGTTTGCACACGAGAAGAACAAGATCTGATAGCAATGAAAACTAAACAAAGTGAAAAGTTACGCAATAAACTTTCGCAAGCAGGATGGGCTACTAGCACTGAAATTCCGTATTATCGACTCGTACGTCGAGCTCAAAAATCGTCTCAGCAAGAGTCAGGTATCTCAGACATTTCGAAAGAGGTTACTTCAAATGATGAACTGGTGAGCACCAGTGATGATGAAGATGTAATAACAAAACCAGTTCATGGAGCTCAGATACGCTTAGAACAAGGTAGGTCATTTGATTATATGATATAGCATAGTCTTGTGATGTGCATCTACTACCACACGTAATAAGCATTGCGCTTACTTCCAAGCTGCTTAGATATGTAATATACTGTCTTAGTTTTCGGCAACTATCGGTATATATATCCTGTTAACACATCAGTCAGTGTCATGATGGGACCTGGCACTACTGCGTGACCGTCCAAGTTACCATACTTCATATCACATTATCAAAGTAGAAAGCGCCAAGATGAAAGATATGGAAATGGGATAGAAAGCAGGTAAAGGTCATAAAAAGATGGTGGGGTGGGAGGAGAAGGAAGAGTCAAATCATAACGAAGTTCTGCTCGGCAACTAAAATGAAGATAATGTGCGGATGCGTCTACGCTATTGAGCTCCATTCCGAGCCATATCACCTACAGTCTCCATCTCTGGTTTTTATTATTATGCGCGCTCCAACCGGCTCAGACCAATGGTCAGAAACTTCATGCACTGATGCCATGCTTAGTCCCTAACTGTTTTCGAGCCTAAACCTACTTTACCTAACATTAAAATGTACAATTTTTTTTTATCAACAAAAGAATTACGAATCAATATTGTCAGAAAGCAAACTCCTATTTCATTGATCTCTTGATTCCCGACCGATAGCTGCTACCTTGACGTGGTGGTCGGGCTTGCATATCACAATGACCCAACGAGCTATGCTGGTGGAACGCTTGCTTCCTCGAGGTCCTACCATACCAGAAAGGTCTGTTGGATAGTGGTTAGACGAAAAGCAGTTACCATCATAGTGTGAATTGCTACACTATGATGGGGGTCTGAGGGCGAAGTCGTACTGCTGCTAGCTGGATGGGGTGTGACAGCACTAAGGTGTTTCCCTTGGATGACCAGCAGTGCCATGCTGATGCTGCCTTCTCAGTGGGAGGGGGGGGGTTAGAAAAGGTCGGCCCCAAAAATAACACACTCCACCATGCCCCACGGTCTGCCGGGCCGGCGGTGTTGGTTCACTTGTCGTTTCCTTTCGACCATCCGGCCCCCAAAATACAAAAGTTCAAAATAATCATACTCAAAAGGCTGGGTGTGACAGGCCTCAAGCAGATGTCCGATGGGCTCTGCGGTCACACAAATCTCTTTCAGGTACCTTAAGAAGAAATAGCCTTCCACGGTGTGGGCAGCCGGGAAGTGTCAACCGCAACTCTGTCAGCACTCAAGTTTCTTCTGACTGCTATCCACTTCATCCATCATTACCTTCTAATCTTCCTTCACGTCTCTTAATTAATGATGCTGCATCATCTTCAATTTCTCCTACCCTGCAGCCTTCGACAACGATGAGTCCACAGAACAGCATCACTGGTCTCCTTAAACCACGCTCCAAATTACATATTGGAGCCTTCAATGTCCGCACCCTCCGTCAAATTGGTCAACAGGCTTCGTTGGCAAAGACTCTAGCAACTCGGGCCATGGATGTGTGTTGTGTTTGTGAGACACGCATACAGGACCCTAGTGTGGTTATTCACCTGACCTCTTCTGACCAATCTGGTGAATCCGCAAAATTCACCCTTCGAGTTTCTGGAGATTCGATAGCTAGCTCTCGTGGTCTTGCAGGTGTAGGTATAGCATTAAGCACCAGGGCAGAAAACTCACTACTAGACTGGATCAGCGATGGACACAGATAGACCACATTGCTATTAGTCATCGCTGGAGAGGATCGGTGGAAGACTGCCGCTCCTTCTGGAGTACGTGTTTGGACAGCGATCATGCGTTGGTCCGAGCACGTATATGCCTGCGTCTCAATGGACGTAGAAAAAATTTGGCAACAAAACCACTACGAGTTCTGCTGGACAACGAAAACACCAAAGCCGTGTTCAGTGAGAAGTTGGCTAGGCAGTTATCGGAACAAAAGACTGTCACTCATCCAGAAGAAGCTTGGTGCCATCTTCAGTCTACTGTAAAAGCAGCACTGGAGACTGTAGCCGACTCCAAGATAATGGCTAAAAAGAGCCAGTGGATATCAGCAGCTTCTTCCAAACTAATGGATGCACGTGAATGCATCCCTGCAGGCTCTGAGTACAATGAAGAGCGAGCGCAACTTAAAAATAAACTGACGAAAAGTCTGCGCAACGATCGTGAACAGTGGTGGGCAGCAAAGGCTAAAGAGATGGAAAAGGCAGCGGCGATCGGTAACAGTAGACAGTTATTTAGACTTATTAAGGAGACTGGGGGGAAATGGTCAACAACAGTTAGTGAGGTTATAGCGGAGAAGGACGGATCGGCGATTCACTCGCAGGGAAGGCGACTGGGACGATGGGCAGAACACTTTGAGGAACAGTTTAACTGGCCTCCAGCCACCATTGCGCTGCCCGCTATCCAGTCGGACCCTGAATGGGACATAGAGACAGGTCCCCCAACACTAGAAGAAGTTGAGAAAGCGGTAGGTAGCCTGAAACGGGAAGGGCAGCAGGACCAGACGGACTACCTGCTGAGGTATACAAGAATGGTGGTAGAGTTCTCTTAGTCAGGCTAACGGAAGTGTTAGCCAGTATATGGGAATCAAATACGATCCCCTCCGACTGGTCTAAGTCACTGATCATCCCAGTCTTCAAGAAAGGCGAGAAGTCCTCTTGTGATAACCACAGAGGAATCAGCCTGACAAACATAGTGTCTAAGATCCTAAGTTCTATAATTCTCCGACGCCTGAGTGGAGCTCGGGAACAGCAAGCCCGAGAAAACCAGGCAGGCTTTAGACCTGGCCGTGGATGTATCGACCAAATATTCACACTGCGCCAGGTCCTGGAACATAGGCATGCTTACAGACGCCCGACAATAGCTGTATTTCTCGACCTGAAGGCGGCATTTGACTCCGTTGATCGAGAAGTCTTATGGCAGTGTCTGTCACTGAAAGGCGTGCCTAGTAAGTACATCACCTTATTGAAAGCTCTCTACTCGAACACTTGTGGGCATGTTAGAGCCTATGGTGAGTTGTCCAGGGAGCTATACTCATCAAGTGGTGTCCGTCAAGGATGCCCACTATCCCCATTCTTATTTAATTTTATCATAGATATTCTTATGGAGGTTTCCCTCTCGTCACCTAATTACAAAGACGTTGACCGGATCACAGGTGAATTTTCCTTAGATCTAGAATATGCAGATGACATAGTCCTGTTAGGTGAAGACGCTGACAAGATGCAGAGTCTTCTGAACACTTTGAGTGGGAATTTGAGAATGTTTGGGATGCGATTTTCACCACCCAAATGCAAATTTTTGCTCCAGGACTGGTCTTCAGCGGTACCGCGGTTAACAATAGAGAGTGAAGTGGTTGAGTGTGTTGACCACTTCACTTACCTGGGAAGTAGGATCAACTGGTGGGTTAGTTGCCGATGAGATTTCTGCACGGATACAAAAGGCTCGATTGGCTTTTGCCAATTTGCGCCACCTATGGCGCCGCCGTGATATTCGTTTGTCTATTAAGGGTCGCGTGTACTGCACAGCAGTCCGCTCTGTTCTACTGTATGGCTGTGAAACATGGCCATTGAAAGTGGAAGACATGAGAAGGTTACAGGTATTTGACCACCGTTGCCTTCGTAGTATAGGACGTATTCCGTGGTGTCACCATGTGAGTAATGCAGAAGTTAGGTGTAGAGTTTTAGGGAGAAGAGGTAAGTCAGTCGACGAGGTTGTGAACCTTCATCGACTGAGATGGTTGGGACACGTACTACGTATGCCTAGTCACCGATTGCCTCGTCACACAATGTTGGCTGAGGTGGGTTCAGGCTGGAAAAAGGCCCGAGGTGGCCAGACTAAAACATGGCACCAATGTATGAAGTCTCTGACTGTTGGTTTAAGCCATGTAGGACGATGCAGACTAGGTGGTTGGGGTCCACGGGACAAGAGGAACCAGTGGTTGGAGACCCTAGGTGATATGGCTCAGAACCGAAGTCAGTGGCGCAGATGTATACACACATTATCCTCATCTTAACAACGCTATACCGAATCTCACTATTTTGTCACTCCTCTTTCCTTTCTTCTCGTACTTTATATTTCTTTTGACTGCATTCACTTATCTTCATCCTTCACCTCACTACCTTTTTACTTGATGTGCTGATATGAGGTGTGGCAACTCTGACCGTTACTCAGTAATGCGTGGTCTTATGTTGATATTGATGATGATGATGATCTCTTGATTAAAATTCAGTTAGTTGTTTAGGAGACGACATTGTTAGAGAAAGGGATCTGAAGAATCGAAATGGATTTGTTAAAGTATTTCGTTATTTCCTTTGGAAGAACTAACGTTCCACTTAGAAACTACGATTAATTCAACCTCCGTCTAAATTAATAGAATGTGGAGTTATGTCTAGTTGTTTTGGAGAGTTGACTTCCAACCAGCTGGTCACGGGTTCGAGCCCCGTCCCACCTACCGAGGTTTAAGCAGCCAGGTAGTATCATTAATAGCCCTCACATAATATGTATGGGCTCACTGCCTACTGTTCGAATGTGTACAAGGTTGCTGAGTGCCTCCCGTCCCGTCGTAACTAATTGAATGTACCTATTTTGTCTGGGTTATCTCTAGTGATTCTTATAAGTCAGTGGTATATATCATGCAAATAATTTTTATTCTTTTCCTCACGATAAACAACTGAAAAACTGTAAAATTGACAGAAATAAACTACTTCGATATTTATTTGTATGCATAAAGATGTAACCTTTTCATGATTGTTTTTGTCTCATTAGAATGTGAGTAAATAACCAGAATGCATGCACATCACACATGTAACAAGGCAATCAAAATGCTACTAATTAGGATATTCACTTATTCAGTGACTTCTTTAAATGGTATTGAGAAATTTGACGTAACCACATAAACGTCAAATTCACAACTCCCTTGGATTTCAGTGATCTGAACGATTTCGTTCAGTGTAATATACTTTATGTACAGGAGGATTATTCATTGGTGCTTTGTACTAGTTTATTAGGATTAAATAGTTATCCACTCTATCTGTAGAATTAGTAGAAGTTTTATCAATTTAATTGATCAATGCAACTTAACTCAGCGCACATTTTTGTGTTAGACTGTGAGACACCGTTATTGTTTTTGAGTATATGGATTCTCTTCGATTGGTTAGGTTGAAGTATATGGAGTAGGATTTCAACACAGCATCTAGTGTTTGAAAATATAATGCTTAAGCCAGTGAGCGATATCCCCACAGACATGTAGAAGAAATTTTAAAAAGCTGTGTTTAATAGCCCCAAATCTTCAATTATATCATATCGGCTAAATAATAAGTGCAATAATCAATAAGTTTCAGGATCTAGATGGTCATGACAACTGCAATTACATGTTAGTTATACTAACAGCTTATGAAAGGTAGGCCTTTTGATACATATTCGAAGGATCTAAGGATGCCTTCGTTTCTGTTCTCCAAATGTAACTGCTATCTCAGATGCGAAAGGAAAGTTCGAAATGTAGTCACCAGCCACATGCACCTCCGTACAGTAGACAATGTGTCACAACATTATGATTTAGTTGGTTGTGGCTAGCAGAAGGACCCAGGACGCACGTTCCGTCCCATTCGGGACTCATCAGCTGGATGTATCCGCACCCGAGTGATGTCGTCCACACTGGGACTCGGACCTCTTGCCCAGCGCTTCAAACGCCGAGGCGTTATCCACTATGCCACAGAAGAACGATAGCCACTTCTTGTAAAACGGGTAGTAGTTATTACTATTTATTGACATACTTGTTATTCTCCGTTGTTTTGTTGGATCGAAGGGTTCGACCTCAGTTGGCCTATGGGCTCCTATGCGGATGCCTCGATATTGCCTAAATGTTAGTTATGATAATTTGGTTAGTTGTGGCTATTGTTTAAGGGCTAATGATACTACCTGACTGTCCTCACTTCGACAGGTGATGCGGTACTCGAATGCCTGATTCACGGGTTGAAAGTCAACTCCCTAGACCAATGAGTCACAGGTCCACCACTACAGATACACGTAAACTTGCACACTTGTTGCCGAAGACTCCTGTTCATAAAATTCTTGATATTATTTGTTAGCATTCCGAACTCCTTTCTCTCCTTTTTGAGATTTAAACACTTGTTGTTAATGTGTACTAAAGATATTTAGTTCGATAGTATTGTATACCGCCAAACTAGTGAAGTTGAAGTGGTTAGTTCACCAATTTCGGTTTCGATAAATGTTTTTACGGCTAGCCACGAAGAAAAAACATATCTCAAATATGATAGTGAAGAAACAACGTCGTGTTCTAGATATGTTGACGGTACATTGTATGCATCAACCTAGGTCATGTATCCTACTTACTCATTTTTTTCAATGATGCTCATGAGAATATATCGGGTTCGCCATAAAACATGTAAACAATGGTAAGTTCTCCTCTTTAGATATCATTTTACAGAGTAGGAGAATGGTACACTTCAAAGGTCCATTTATCGAAATAGTAAATGGGATAGACTACACCTAATTTCAAGTCTTTTGGAGTTACTCAGGAAAATTATATTTCTTTTCTTCTTTAGAGCTCATTTTTCGCATATTTTAGCGTGATAAGACAGTGATATTTCTTCACAACTGCATATGTAATAATAATAGTTCACTTTATCCGATGCAGCATGGTATATTGCAACAACAAGAAAATATAAGTATATACATAGTCCTTTACAACATTTCGAATTGTTTTATTATAAAAATTCAAGTAATGTAAAGAATATTAAAAACCTAGCCTAGGTGTGTCTTGGTGATATCTTGGGTTGATTTCGGGTTTCTGTCATTATAGCCATTTTATTTATCCATTTTTCTAAGAAAATGTTATACCTACTTATTCTTATTATCTACTTTTAATATTCCCTAGGCCTGATAAATGCTTTATCTAATCGTGATAAACTTTTGGAGTTCGATGCTACTTGTGCTAAACGAACCAGAGTCATTGATGATGAATTAGATTATTTTGCAACAGAAGGAGGTGCTGGATCAGCTGCATGGCTAAGTCCTGAAGTTCGTGAGAGAATAGCTCAACGTGTTGCTGAGTTAAGAGCTCAAAGACATGCACATCGTCTACAATTTGCACGTATGTGTATTGATCTAAAAAACTGCAGTGTAACCGAGGAGGTTAGTATATTATTTTTATTACAAAGATCGGTGAAAAAAACTTATCATTGCTATAATTATAACATTCTGTTGAGAACTTTCAATTCTCACCAGATAATATAGTCGTGGCTCAATCGTTTATGTCCTTAAACGTCAACTAGTGTAGAAGAGGAACCAGTGGTTGGAGACTGGATCTAGGTGATATGGCTGAGAACCGATGTCAGTGGCGCAGATGTATACACACATTATCCTCATCTTAACAAAGCCATACCGAATCTCATCATTTTGTCACTCCTCTTTCCTTTCTTCTCGTACTTTATATTTCTTTTGACTGTATTCTCTTATCTCCATCCTTCACCTCACTATCTTTTTACTTGAAGTGATGGTATGAGGTGTGGCAACTCTGACCGTTACTCAGTAATGCGTGGTCCTATGTTGATATTGATTGATTGATTGGTACGTAATGATTGATATGTGGAAGTATAAGTCATTCACCGGGTGGAATCATCGGAAAACATGACATACCATAAATGCTCACATCTGAAAACCGATCAAAGTCGTATGTGAAATCAGTTATAAAAGTCTTTAGAAAAACTTGTTCTTTAACATAATACATACCTTTTACGCGCACTGTAAACGTTTAATATTACATGTTGTTACTTGTATTATCCTGTCATATATTGGGTCGAATGGATTGGTCTCTGTTGGCACATAGTGAACAACGCCCTGACTTTTGATGTGATCAGTCCCGAGTTTGAGTCGTAGTAGGAGCAACACCGCCCACTAGAAGACAAGTACACTCAGCTGACGAATCTCAAGTAGTACGAGACGCGCATCCTGGATTCCACTACTAGCCACTATCCGTCGTTATTATACACTTCAATATTATAGTCAACTTGCGTAGACTGCATGCGGCACAGTAGTGAAAGCAAGCACCAAACCTTCAAGTTGATACAAAAAATTATCGATATAAGGTTAAGCTATTTTTTATGCTATATATCGACTGAAACAGTAATCAGAATCTAGGAAATTTTAGCAGCATTTATCAATACCAGCTTTCCTTCTTTTAAAGGAAATATTTTCTGATCTTTCTTCTAGGATACAAGAGATGAAGCTGCAGAGAAGCTGTACAACCCAAATCGAGAAGAAATAGACGAACTTTGCAAACCTTCGAATATGTCACATAATAAACGATCTACATGTGATGGTCAGGTAACAAAAGATTCTGGTGTAATCGAGGTAACCCCGCCCACTGTAAGTTATTTTCTACTGATGAAATGTTTCTAATTACGAAAAATGAACTGGAAAATTAAACCTAATACTGTAAGTATAGTATTTAAACACCATGGTGGAATCTAATTCCAAATGGAATACAAGTTATTAAGAAAGGGCTAAACTTCAGTATTACGATACCTTAGTTTGAACCCCAAGATATTATTTCTAGCATAGAGGTAGCATTAAGCTCGACAGATAAGACATCGGGTAACAACTGCCGGCACAAAAAGACAGCAGCAGAATGTAAGATAAACTTGAGAAATCTGTGTGTATGAGGTTCTGCATTGAATTTTGTCAGAGTTATTCAGGAAATTACAATAGCATAGTGATTGCCAAATTTGATAAGGGAAATTCAATAGTAGTTATGAACAAGTCGTATTTCTTCATGAAACTCAACGAACGTATCCGAATAGGTTCATATGAAGAAATTTTAAAAACTGTAAACGCTGTTATGATGACAACTTACAGATGATGTAGTGCACCGAATTAAGTCATCTCTCAGTCAGTCAAAGTGGCTTACTTTAATGCCTAAAATGAATAATCCTAGTAGAACGTATGGCCCTATTAGAACTAATAAACCAGGTTATCTCATCAGGTTGTCAGTTGACGTTAGGAGCACCCTGAACATCTGAATATTTGACGTTGATACTGTACCAAATTAGAAACCACTCAAATTATAAACTAGCCGATTCATATGAAATTAAGCAAAGGCTAGATAATACAGGGAAAAAATGGTTAGTTCTGATATGACAAGTTTATATACTATACTAATGTGCCAATTAGTATTGCTCTGTAACTCCAAAGTGCTCGCCAACTAGGATACCGGCTAAAGACGTCATGTTAGGAGTTCAGTTATATGTAACGTCAAGAGTTTTCAAATTTCAAGATAAAGTAAATTCAAAGACGAATGGGGTCACTAATATTCTCCCATCCAACCGCTAGGCTGGCAAACGATGGACGGTAAGGAAGTCGTTGGGATGGCATGTGTAGCATATTTTCAAGCCTCTTTTACTTGTATCAACCCAATGTATGCCTTAAATAACCATAAACACTGTGCCAGAATTCGTTAATTATGATATTATATACGTGAATATAGGTGCAGAAAAATGGATGCATGTGAAAATCATTGTAATGAAGCTCAAGGTATCGTGGTAGTAATAATAATAATATTGCATCTTATATGCTGGGTATGGGTAGAAGCACTGAGCTGTTACCATATGTATTGTGTCCGAGGGAGATGGCAGGCTAATAAGTTCACATAATTGCATAAGCTTCGCTTTCTTAAAGAGGGTTTGAATCCATAACCTATCAGTTGAAATAAGTATATCTCACTAGCATATACATCGTGAGTTTGAAGTTTTAGTTACCCGACGAGTGCTGTCGACATTTGTTTATTTTTAAAGATGACTTTTCCTGATTTTCTAGAGTGCTTATGTTCACATTGTCTTGACTTTTAGTTTGTCCCCCAAAACAATAATGGACGGAATTACACAACAAGAGGTGATCAAAACCCTGTGATTACAGCATTAAACCATTCCACATCAGTTTTCCGAATACAAGATGATGAATCAAGACAACTAGCCGATGAAGGTTATTGCCTGAGTCTCCATCAACCTTGGGCTTCATTATTAGTACGTGGGATTAAGTTGTAAGCTTACTATTTTTTGTTGTTGATTATTATATCATTTTACGAAACATTAAAAAAGGTATCAGCTTTGTAAGAAGAATAAAACCTTTTTTTAATAGTACCGTTCGTCATGCATATATTAATTGTAATACTTTACTTGGGATACTTTTGTTTATTTCGTATCAAAGCTATGAATATAGTTTCAAACCTAGTTTACAGTAGACTTCATCTTTACAAATTATGTGTCTATTGCTGATAACAATGGATATAAGTAGTATACATCGAGAGTGTGGCAGGAATCATACGGAATTACCGGCAATGGGTAAGGTTTCTGCCAAGAGTAACGCAAGGGATAACACAGGCGTATTACAGTGGATGCTGCTGATAAGAGTGTATGAAGAGCAGGCCAAGAGCAAATCAAGAGAGGAACGGAGGAGGAAACGAAGATATTTGTAAATGACTGGGTTAGTGCAAGGTGTACCAATGTAACGGCTACGATTCCAATTATTCACAATAGGCATTCTCTCGTCGAGTTTGTCTTCTGTTTCTTCAAGTTGCTTTTCTTTTGATTCTGTCCATAGCCAGAAACCAGTCATTGTATAAATATTATCGTCATAAATACTCGAGTGTTATGTAACAGTCTTACTTTCAGCCTGATTGATATGTGTAAGAGAGCCACTGAAAATCAGATATTCTGTAAATAACTGTCGCTGAAATTTGAGAATTGTCAACTATGCTCACATTGTAGCTCATAAAAGTTGAGATTAAGGCCCGAAATTTTCTGTAACATATCTGAAGAAGGTAAAGACGTTTACCTGTCTCCTCTAACAAGTAGGTATGTGCAACCGATGAATTGGAAACTAAGACAAAACTGTTATCTCTTACCCCAGTGTTTTCAGTGGTTCCATAACCAATCACGATCTATAGTGAAGGTCTTCTACAGAATAAGTCATTCCCCATAAAGTCCCTATTTGAATCATACTAAACATTTCAGCTGTATGCATGATTCGTAAGTAATAAGCTATATCAGTAATATACCTTGGCGATTGTGGTGGACGTCTCCCTCTCACTGTATGATTTCACGTAGATCATATGATGGGAGAATCCTCGGTAGATCTAGAGTACACAGATGACATAGCTCTGTAAAGACCCTGTCTAGATACCTTGAGAATATCTGGGGTGCGTTTTTCTCTACCAAAATCCAAACCGTTTCTGCAGGTTTACTCTTCAGTGCTGCCCTGTCTAACAATAGGAAGTGAAATCACTGAATGCGTTCAACACTTCAATTAACCTGAGAAGTCACACCAGCCCTGGTGCGTCAGTGATATCAGGAAAAGTATGATATCCTATTATAAATACATCAACGGCGGTCACCTGCTACAACTGAGCTCAAACAACCATTTATTTCTGGACAGCACGAACTTCAGACATATAAAGATAGAGATTTCATTTTAGTCAGCTCATTACAAATGTCACACAGTGAAACAGCATCATTTACTAGACAACGTTTCGTACATAATTTATCGTCCATATTCACATCATGTAACGCCACAACTTTGAAGCAGTTTATGTAGTTCTAATCATCTCTCTACAGTCCCCAAGTTTGACTCCTACATTAGACAAAGACAATGTCTGACGTAGCGTCCACCGACCTCAACTCAGTGGTAAACGACCATATTACTATAAGTTACCGCTGGGGAAACGATACAAGATTACTGCTCAACCGGAGCACGTGTATGTCAAATATAAATGGATGTGGGAAGACTAAAGCAACAAGATAATCACAAGAGCTACTTGATAATGAAAACATCAAGCCTGTTTGCAATAAGAAGTTTGCTATACATTATCGGAAGGAGAGCACTCGTCCAGAAGCAGCTTAATACTATCTCCAATCAGCTGTAAACGCTGATGGCTGTGGATCGATCGAGGCTCTCATGCAGTGGGAACCAATCTCCTCAACGATCAGGATCATGACAACAAGGTTCAACTCAAGAGGAAGGAAAGTCACAATCATACAATGCTACGCTACACGCCTACAAATAACGCAGATCAAAAGGAGGAGGAGCAGGAACTCTACAGACAACTGCAATCAGTGATGGACAAGACCTCACTCTATATGATGACATCAAAATCAATTCTAATAGGTGACATGAATACCAAACTGGGAGCGGATAACACAGGAAGATAACTAACTGCAGGTCGAGAAGCACCTGGTAACATGATGGATGGGACGGAGAACTGTTTTCAGAGTTCTGCGCATTCAACGATTTGGTGATTGGAGGCAGTGTGTACAATCTCAAGGATATCCACAAACCGACATGGATTTGATTTCGCCGCATGGACACACTAAATATCAGGTCGACTTCATCTCAATCTCAAGAAAGTGGAGACGCAGCCTACTGGACACAAGATCAAGAAGAGGAGCAGATGTCGGTGGTTCATACCACTCACTATCTAGTGCATGGAACCTGCCTTCAAAATCAAGTTGAAAGCCTTCAAAGAAGTTGATGATAGGCCACAGTTCAAGTTCAAGTTGAACACCCAGAACGGAAAGAAACTGAAGTGAAGGACGAACTACAAACGACATCTTCACGTCAGTTAGTCATCAGGACAAAATGGGAGATATTGAACAGCATACTTGAAGAAACCTGCTTGGAAGAACACCGGAATTCTATGAAGGAGATGCGGAAAGAAACCTGCATAACTGTATCAGGAAGGAAGAAGAAACAAGCCAAGCAATGGATCTTGATGGACACATGGAAGCTGATAGAGAAGGGAGAGGAAGATGGTGAGGCAGAAGATGGACCAGTGAAGTGCAGTGCAGTGCAGTGCAATGCAGAGATGAATAATGAAAAGAGGAACTGAACACAACCTATAAAACACTACACTGGACAAAGAAGTGAAGAAGAGTGCGCACAAAGACGAAAGACACTTCTATGACACACTGGCAAGTGAAGCAGAACAGGCTGCTGGTAGGAGACAGAAACCTGACAACACTATATCAAACAACTGGGCTACTATCTGGGAGGGAAGAGATCAACTCAGATGAAAACAATGAAAGATAATGAAGGGAACGTAGTTAGCAAAGGGGAGAAACAAAGGAAACAATAGGCGGACCACTTCAAAAAACTCTTCAGTCGACCACTATCACCACCACCTGCAAGCCGTCCAGAAATACCAGCAGCAGCTCAGTCACAGAACTACCAGTGGACACAAGCCATCCGACAAAAGCAGAAGTGGAGTCCTGAACGCCATAGGGCTATTGGAATCCGGGAATGCAGCAGGACCAGATGGAATTCCACCAGAAGTGCTGAAAACAGACGCAGAGACAACAGCGGAAACGCTCACACCACTACTGAAGAAGGCTTAGAAGGAGGGAGGGAAGGAAGAAGGAAGGAAGGAAGGAAAGTTACCTGCCCATTGATTGGAAGAAGGGCTACCTTGTCAAACTCCCGAAGAAGGGCGACCTAAATCTTTGCAGGAACTGGTGAGGAATCGTGCTCCTATCCTTGTCCACCCCGAGTGAGAAAAATATTATGCCGCATCATCCTGGAGAGACTAGAGGATGCGCTGGATTCAAAACTACGACCCGAACAGGCTGGCTGGCTGGATTCAGGAAGTACAAATCATGTGCAGATCAAATTGCAACGCCACACTACGCATCATCATAGAACAGAGCATAGAATGGCAATCAACTCAACTCAACTCTACCTCAACTTCATCGACTTTGAAAAGGCCTTCGACAGTGTCGACCGAGAAGTAATTTGCCAGCAGCTGCTTCAACACTCCGGAATACCACAGACCTTTATCAACCTCATTCAACAACCGTAGGATGACGCCGCATGCCAAGTAATTCATAATGGGAAGCTCAGTGATGCCTTTGAAGTGAAGACAGAAGTAAGACAAGGCTGTCTACTATCACCCATGATATTCCCGATTGTCGTCGACTGGACTGGATCATGCAGCAAACAGTGAGGAGCGAGAAGATAAGCATACGCTGGACTGTGGAAGAGATCCTAGAAGATTTGGATTTCGCCGATGACTTGTGTCTAATGTCTTGTCGCACAAACTCGAAGATCTATAGGCGAAAACTAACAAGTTGACAGAAGAAACGAGGCGAGGCGAGGCGAGACAACGAAGACGGGACTTCAAGTGAACACAGGGAAGACAGAGGTAGGTGAATGATACCCAACTAACGCCACCACCACCATCAACAACAACATCAGCAACAGCACCAATCACCATCAACAGGAGAAACCTGAAGGAAGTAGTCTCTTCCACCTACCTAGCCTAGCCTAGCCTAGCCTACAGCAGCACCGTTTCAACTACAGGTGGCGGCGGCACAGACGAGGACGTCAAAGCACACAGGATCGGAAAGACAGCAAGACAGGCGTTCATTAACCTGAAACCAGTGTGGAGATCTACTGCACTCAGCAAAAAGCGTGAACAAGATCCGGATTTTCAACCCCAATGTCAGTCAAGTCACTGCTTCTAGGTGATGGTTCAGAGGCTTGACGCGTCACGAAAGGGATTTCCAACAAACTACAGACATTCATCAACAGCTGCCGTCTACGCTCACTCGGTACTGAAGGTGGAGATCAGATGGATTGCCAGAATAATAAGAATAAGCAACAAGGAACTCACCGTAGCTGGTAGCGAACCAACCAAGAACCTATCGCTCCACAAATATGCAGAAGAAAGTGGAGATGGATTTGACTGGGCATACACTGAAGAAACCATTCGAGGACATCACGTGCCAAGACCTCGAGTGGAACCCGCATGGGGAACGACGAGTATGGCGTCCGAGGCGAGGGTGACATGGGGGAGATCATGTGAGGAATAAATGAAAACTTCTGGGCAGTCGTGCAGCCAGGTTGTAAAGACTGCAGAGAAGAGAGGGGAATGGAGATGTGCTACTGAAGCTGTATGTTCCACCAGTAACCCAAGGGACAAATAATAAAATAATCATCCTCTCTGACTGGTCTCAATCACTGATTGTCCAGTCCCCAAGACAGCTGGGAAGTCCTCTTGTGATAAGCACTAAAAGAATCAGCCTGACGAACATACTAAGATTTTGGGTTCTGTTATCGTTAGACGTCCAAGTGGAGCTCACGAACAGCAATCCCAAGGAACCAGACAGGCTTCAAACCTGGTTGTGGATGTATCGATCAGACACTCACACCCCACCAAGTTCTGAATTTGTCTTCAGTGGTGCGCTGCCCAACAACAGGGAGTGAAGTGGTTGAACACTTCACTTAACTAGGAAGTCTCACCAGCCTTAGTGGGTCAGTGGCCACAAAATCTCTGCATAGATAGAAAAGGCTCGATTAGCTTCGCCAACTTACGCCATCTATAGCACCACCGTGATATACGATCTCCCACTAAAGGTCAAGTATAATACACTGCGGTTCTACTGCATGCTTGCAAAACATCGCTATTAAAGGTAGAGGACATGAGAAGGCTTCAGGTGTTTGACCACTGTTACCTTCATAGCATGGACCGTCTGTCATGGTGTCACCATGTCAGTACTGCAGAGATCTGCTGTGGAGTTTTTTTTACGGGAGATGCAGTTGTGAACCTTCATCAACTGAGATGGCTGGAACATGTGTTGACCACGCCTAGTCACCACCGACATCGTCGAACAATGTGTCCGCTGAAGTAGATTGGTTTAAATGGGAAGAAAGTTAAGGGCGGTCAGACTAAAACATGGCATCACTGCATGATGTTTTTGACTGTTAATATGAGCCTTTTAGGAGAATTTAGACTGTATGGTCAAGGTCCACGTGATAAAAGAAACCAGTGGTTGGGGACTCTAGGTGATATGGCTCAGGATCGATCTGTGGCGCAGATGTGTTCACACATTATCTTGATCTCAGTCGTCATACTGAATTCATTATTCGCCCATTCTTTCTTGCCTCCTTTGGGATGATATTCTATCACTTTCGACTGCTTTCTTCTCTACTACTTTATCTTTCATCTTAATGCATTCTCGCTTTATGTGCTGATATGAGGTGTGGCAATGTGGACGGTTATGCTGCATGCGGCAATCCTTGGTTCTATGTTGATGATCGTGAACCTACTGTAATAACTCTCAAAGTTGTTAATATTTACAATCATTTAACGGATTCCCTGATTAATAGTTTATGTGTAATATCTTTCAAAAAAGAGAAGAAGGGAGAACATGGTATAGTCCTCATCGTGGTTGTCTATGGATAGCATCAACTGCCCGTAAACCTGATCCCAAAGAAATTCATCAGGTGGAGGATGAATATTTAAAAGCTGGTAAGTCTTATCCCTTCACTGTTTACTAATCTTTCTTTACTCCAACTAACTTATGTTTGTACTGTGCAGAATATTGAATAGTTCAAAGCTAAGTTATCGAATACACACAGGGCGAGCATTTTATTGTCTTGGTCTATTCTGACTTCCATACAATTGAACTACACGTTTTAAAGCTTACAGTTTCTCACATACTTGTAAGTAAGAATGATATATTTTGTAGTGTTATAAGGAACTGAAATGAAAAATCTTAAACAAACATTATCAGCTTTATTACTTTATCCACTTAAAAAAATATTTTACCTAAGGCTTATTTTATAGCTTTTCAGTGACTCCTCACCCAATTTCGTACAATTCATAGTTGCGTAATAAGTCTTGAATAAAATACTTGACTACTCATGATTCAGTTATTAAGTGTCGGACAAATGACTCCGATTGCAATACACACATTTTATTCATTTTGGAGGTTTCCGGGCATTTATCCATTGATTTCAGGTTGATATTCATCATGGACTGATATCAGTCGGAGAGCACTGGACAGTTGTTTCGTTCTAGTATGCGACTCTTCAGCAATGCACACCCATGACCCTACCAGGGATTGAGCCCAGGATCTTCAGATTCCGTGGTCAGCACGTTACTATTGATCTACTGCGCCGGAATTCAGTGGTCCAACTGATGTCAGTTCATCATGGATATCAACTTGAAATGAACACAAACATGGTGAGTCGTTAATCTGCCATATTTTGTATCTAGGATGAACTAAGTGGTAGTTAAAGGGTTGCTAAGTTGTCTTACTTCCAGCTAATGTGACTTGTACGTGTGGGTAGAGCATAGCAAGTGCAACTATATTTGGATAATGAGGCGTACAGAGAGTCTGAATCACGTGACTCTGGACTAAGGTCATTCATTTGCAATTATCAGTTCAAGTACATGATAAAAGTCGTATTGGTTTGTTTGAGTATTAAAACATATTCTTTGAAAAAATTCTTTTTTTGGCTTTTTTGTAGGTGCTAACAAGTCAGATATGCCGACATCATATCCTACTAGTTGTCTTCTCGGTCGAGTAAATATTGTAGATGTAATAACACAGGAAGAATATCGCGAAAAAGTAAGGACTTATCTCCCATGGGTATTTCTTCTCCTTATTATAGACTTATTTATTCTAAATATCACCACAGTAAGTAGTCATAGAGTCTTAGGTAAGGGAAGTGATTCGGTTGTGAACTTACGCTGACTAAGGTGGCTTTGATATGAGTTGTGGATGTCCAGCCACACTACCTACCCAGTCTTTTATAGTATTTAAAGTAAGATAATTTGGGAACGAAGCTAAGGGTGATCAGATTATAGTGTTGAGCCTAAATATGCCATCTCTACCCGTTGTTTTGAGCTGTGTTAAAAGATGGAGGCTAAATTATTGGGATTCTCGAGTGATTGGAATCAACTGTTTAAGCCTCCTAGTGTTATAAAGTTCAAAGCTGGGCAGAATAGTACATGTATATACACTCTCTATCTGCTAGTGGATAACGCTTTGGCATTTGAAGCAATGGGTACCGGATTCGAGTCTCAGAAGGGAAAAGACCACTCATTGGGATGCAGGCACATCCTGCTGACGAGTCCCAAATAGGACGAAACGCACGTCTTGGATTCACTGCGAGTCACCAAGATGAATACAACATCATGAATACCGGTAGTATCGAAGCATCTGCATAGGAGCCCATCTGCCAACGAAGGTTGAGCGATTCAGTCCTGTATAGCAACGGTTAATTACAGGTATCAAACAGCAACTCTCCATCTCCACAATAATACTAAAGTGGGAAGTAAATCAGTTTTTATGCATAGGGTAGAGATATCTATTTGGAGTCACAGATTTATTTCAAGTAACTGAAAAGGGTGTCGTTCAGTAAAATATCCTTGGTGCTGTATGTAACTCAGAGTAAATGGTGAAGTCATCTTGTTTCAGGAAGCGTAGATGATCGGCTGACAAAGTTGACAGAAAATGAGATGTTTACTGGCTAGGTGGTTTTCGCTCACTATGGTAATTCACAACGTTGTTTTCGCAATTATATATATATATATATATATATATATATATATATATATATATATATATATATATATATATAAAGCTTCCGTGGGGTTAAAACAAAAGACAATGGATATATCTCTCAGTCGTCATAATTTATTTCTTCTTTCCCCTCTCTCACACTTTTGTCGACTTCAGTACTACTGAGGTACGCAAGGTTTTTCATTGATCTTGTTGTATATGACATGACCACTCGAAATATCCACGTTAATTCTTGAGTGGGTACACCCGTTGGATTTAAATCATGGTTCCTCATTTTTCAGAATTGATTAGCAATCATCACATTCGAATAACTTTATGATGCCTCAATGTGTGAATTTAACAGGGTGATGATTATACGGTAACTAACTGCAGTCATCAAGTGAAGCTATATCTGCACCTAATAGACTCTTCTGGTAATGTGTATATCTGTGTGATGAGACATTGGTTGACTGTCTAGTGATTTCAAGCGGTACTACTTTAAGTCAACTACACTAAATGCTGAAAGCTTTATTCTAGGCCCAATGATTTACTGCTCCACATCTATTTTAGTTCTCAGAATTCTTTCTCGTTGAGGCTTTACGATACACATGATTTTCATTCTGTAATTTGTTGTCCTATTTCATATACTCTCCGTCTGCTTAATATATGTCTGCTGTTGGTGCAGTTTTCATATCAATAAGTAGCATGTGCTTTCGGCGGCCTGCTTGAACCTTAGGCTACCAAATGTATCCACCGAACGTTTTTCATCAAATTCTTTCCCTTCGATTTGTTTTAATCACTTCAATATGTCATTTCAACGTATTATGTACTCTTTCATATTTTTCAACTCTCCATTCCTCGAGTCAATAACAAAGCAGAGGAAGAATGTTACGTTATATGGAAGTAGGTTTTTCGGTGCACCAAACTACATCATATTTCTATCCATCAGGTGCTTAGCTTCAGTTGCAGATTTTTGTACTGTCTGAATGAACCACTAACAAAGTTACGCTTGCATTTCTATTGATTAATGTTATTATTAACACCATGCAGATTAATATTATCATTTGTCCCTTGGGTTACTAGTGGAACATACAGCTTCAGTAGCACATCTCCATTCCCCTCTCTTCTCTACAGTCTTTACAACCTGGCTGCACGACTGCCCAGAAGTTTTCATTTATTCCTCACATGATCTCCCCATGTCACCCTCGCCTCGGACGCCATACTCGTCGTTCCCCATGCGGGTTCCACTCGAGGTCTTGGCACGTGATGTCCTCGAATGGTTTCTTCAGTGTATGCTCAGTCAAATCCATCTCCACATTCTCCTGCATATTTGTAGAGTGTCAGGTTCTTGGTTGGTTCGCTACCAGCTACGGTGAGTTCCTTGTTGCTTATTCTTATTATTCTGGCAATCCATCTGATCTCCACCTTCAGTACCGAGTGAGCGTAGACGGCAGCTGTTGATGAATGTCTGTAGTTTGTTGGAAATCCCTTTCGTGATGCGTCAAGCCTCTGAACCATCACATAGAAGCAGTGACTTGACTGACATTATGGTTGAAAATCCGGATCTTGTTCACGCTTTTTGCTGAGTGCAGTAGATCTCCACACTGGTTTCAGGTTAATGAACGCCTGTCTTGCTGTCTTTCCGATCCTGTGTGCTTTGACGTCCTCGTCTGTGTCGCCGCCACCTGTAGTTGAAACGGTGCTGTCTAGGCTAGGCTAGGCTAGGTAGGTGGAAGAGACTACTTCCTTCAGGTTTCTCCTGTTGATGGTGATTGGTGCTTGTTGCTGATGTTGTTGTTGATGGTGGTGGTGGCGTTAGTTGGGTATCATGGTCACCTACCTCTGTCTTCCCTGTGTTCACTTGAAGTCCCGTCTTCGTTGTCTCGCCTCGCCTCGCCTCGTTTCTTCTGTCAACTTGTTAGTTTTCGCCTATAGATCTTCGAGTTTGTGCGACAAGACATTAGACACAAGTCATCGGCGAAATCCAAATCTTCTAGGATCTCTTCCACAGTCCAGCGTATGCTTATCTTCTCGCTCCTCACTGTTTGCTGCATGATCCAGTCCAGTCGACGACAATCGGGAATATCATGGGTGATAGTAGACAGCCTTGTCTTACTTCTGTCTTCACTTCAAAGGCATCGCTGAGCTTCCCATTATGAATTACTGGGAATAAGGCGATTATTATCATTATTATTGTTATTATTATTATTATGGTTAATGTCAAATTCATCATTTTTGTTTTTATCTGTCAGTATCCGAATGGGCCGTCACAAAGTCCCTACGTATTTATCTGTAATGATCCACATGAAACTTTAATCAAATTCCCAGTTAGCGGGAAACACAAAATATGTAAGTTCTCTTATACTGAATGACATATACTCTGTTGCAGATAAACTTGAAAAACACATACATACTGCAGCTAAGAAGAATCTAGCGTGATTAATTTTGGCTAAGAACAATAAATGAAACAGTCAATAGCAATGGGATTGTTTTCTTCCTTTGTTTTTTCCACTTTATAGGAGATTGCCAGTGTAGACTCCCTTTTCATCGGCGTACTATTCTGTATAATAATGAAGGGTATTTTGTTTACTAAACTTCACGTCTTTCTTAAACTCACCAATTTCTCTTATAAATAAATACTCTAAAACTTTTGTCGAAATGCCTTATTTGGTTGGTATATTTTTACCTGAGATGCGTACAGTTACTGTTGGAGCATGTTACAGTATAAACGTCGGACTAATAACCGTTGGGACGCATGTCCATTACGGTAGTCCTGCATCTAATCATATACATATCCGGAATTTATCAAAACGTTTATAAGGACTGATAAGAGAAAGAGTGGTGATCGCCACATGCCTAAGAGGGAAGTCAAATATTTTGTAGTGTTGCCGCATAAAGAATGTACACCAGAAATTTTACGTAGAATGCTTAACGCTACGATTAGGATAGCATTTAAACTTGCTTATGGAGAAACTTTGTAGGCTAAAAAAACAATTAAGAAAAACAACCTAGTCAAGTATATAGGTCAAAGTAGGCGATTTGGATCAGAATAGCAGGACACAATTTAGCGAAACATACAAGGGTAAGTAGTACTAAGTAACTTAGAGAAAATGTCGGCTATCGCTCTGTATGCACTGACCCTAAATCACACTATACAGTGGGAGAGGGTGGCAATTCTAACATCCAATACAGCCAGGTGGAGGGAGAGATTGATCACAGAATCGTTGGACATTGGATCCACACTTAACGGGAACGACCCGTCACATATTTCAGATATATAGACATTTCACTACCAATAAAATAAATGAATGAACTGTTGAAAGGAAGTTGAAGGTCATATGATCATTTTGATATGCACATGAGCAATAAATTCCGCTTGAAACATCGTCCGGTAAACTATAATGTATGCTGTATTAACCAAATAAACAATCTAATATGGAATTATACTGTATCACAGTGCCCAAGTTTTTCCCTTACCCTTGAAGCTACTGTTCAGATACATGGATAGATAATTCAGTTTCACACTTTGGTGAGCTCCAAGTCTATAAGATGAATTGTAGTTAGAAATACTAACTTTGAGTTTCATATGCAGACAAATTAGGTCAGAGTAAGTGATTTACAGCTTTGCTTCGATTGCTAATTTTATCGTTGAGTTACTCGTTCTTCCTATCTGCATAATATTCTTTTTTAAGGACAGTAGAGTAGCATTAATTCTGAGTGTGGATGCAAGTCTCTGCCGGATAATGAACCGTGAGGATTCACCAAAGCGGTAAAAGGCACTCATTATTTTAACATCCCAGCAACGGAGCTAACCATAGAACCACTGATATCTGTGATGCTGGAACTCGTTGGTTCTCAACTAATTAACAAAAAGTAATTACTGCGGATGAATAGCTTGAAACACACACGCTAGGTATTGCATACAGAATTTAGAATCTTCACTACATCTCAATGGTACTTCTTTTTGGTGCAAATACTGTTGTGAAAGTTGTGAAAATATATAGTAAGGAGAAGTAATTATTGAGATGTGCGTTTCTAAAAAGAATGTGCCTAAGTGGTATGTA